CACACTGAACCTAAACGTTAAGTTGGAGAGGTCTCGTCTAATGAAGTCAACGCTCCGTCCCCCCTCGTGCTCTAATCCAGAATCCCGAAACCTTTCAGCTCGAGTTACGTAACCGCTTTCAGTGCCTAGAAGATTGCAATACAGTGGACGATATGAATAACAAGCTCGTGGAAACTGTCCATGCGGTCGGAGCTAAGTTCTGCAAGACCCGCCGCAGAAGAACACAAAAACTCTCCGATCACACTCTTAATCTCATGGCTGTTAGACGGGAGATGAGGCTGCAATCGTCAACAGATTTGACAGTATACAGGCAACTGAACAGTCTTTGCCAGAGATCTGTCTGCCAGAAAGAGCCAACTGTCAAAGCTGAAGACTAAGTGTGGCAGCATTGTTTCCGGGACACCTGAGATTTTGAGTGAGATTGAGAGGTTCTATGGGCAGCTGTACACATCATCGTTGGAGCCACACGTAAGTGTGAGATCCAAGAGCAAGTCTTACCCGACACTATTCCGATGATATCCTGAACGTCAGTCTGAGCGAGATTAAAATGGCTCTCCAGCACCTTAAAAACGGCAGGGACCCAGGCGAGGATGGAATTACAGCGGAGCTTCTGAAATCGGGTGGAACACCGGTACTTGAAGTCCTTCAGAAGCTCTTCAATTCCGTCCTCCATGGTGGCACTACTCCGGAGGCGTGGAGCAGAAGTGCGGTGGTCTTGTTCTTTAAGAAAGGCGACCACGCTCTCTTGAAGAACTACGTACCGATTTCCCTTCTGAGCCGCGTCTACGTGCTGTTTTCGAGAGTCATTACGAATCGTCTCGCACGCAGACTCGACGACTTCCAGCCTCCCGAACAAGCCGGTTTCCGAAAAGGCTTTAGTACCATAGACCACATACATATCCTGCGGCAGATTGTACAGAAGACCAAAGAGTACAATCTGCCACTTTGCCTGGCGTATGTGGACTATGAGAAAGCCTTTGATTCCGTCGAAATTTGGGTGGTGCTACAGTCCCTTCAGTGGTGCCAAGTTGAGTGTTTGTACAGTAGGGCTACGATGGCTATCCGAGTACAGAACCAGAGTTCGAAACCTATCCAACTGCAGAGAGGTGTAAGACAGGGTGACGTTATATCCCCGAAACTCTTCACCGCTGCGTTGGAAGACGTTTTCAAGCTACTGGACTGGAAAGCATACGGTATTAACATCAATGGCGAGTACATCACTCACCTTCGATTTGCCGACGATATAGTCCTTATGGCAGAATCGCTGGAGGACCTTAGCACTATGTTCAATGACCTCAATGGTGTCTCCAAACGGATAGGTCTTAAGATGAACATGGACAAAACAAAGATCATGTTTAATGTCCATGTCACACCTATGCCGGTAATTGTTGGGAGCACTAAGCTCGAAGTTGTTGACGAGTACGTTTACCTGGGACAAATAGTTCGACTAGGTAAGTCCAACTTCGACCGAGAGGTCAATCGACGGATTCAACTCGGCTGGGCAGCGTTCGGGAAATTACGACACATCTTCTCGTCAGGTATACCTCAATCTCTGAAAACTAAAGTGTACAACAAGTGCGTGTTGCCAGTGATGACTTAAGGATTTCCTTCACTGCTGGCCGTATGAGGACGCTCAAGATCGCTCTGCAAGCTATGGAGAGGGCTATGCTCGGAGTTTCTCTGCGTGATAGACTCAGAAATGAGGATATCCGCAATAAAACCAGAGTGACCGATATAGACCAACGGATTAGTAAGCTGAAGTGGCAATGGGCCGGCCATATAGCTCGAGGAACCGATAACCGATGGGGAAGAAAGGTTCTCGAGTGGCAGCCTCGTACCGGTAGGCGTAGTGTAGGGCGACCCCCCACTAATTATAATTTATTTTCACCACTTGCATAACTATCACATTTATAAATAACTATTTTATGATCTATACTTAGTTCATAAACAATAATGGAACATCTGTGTCTGGACTAGATAAATATATGTATATCTGGTTTTCAAATCACAGTGCTCTTTCCTATTACATATTAACAGACTAACATAACAAAATGTGTTTTGATATGAAGAAAAATAGTATAATGTGTATACATATGTATCTATTTGTGTATAATATGTTGAATACATGAGTGTCTGTAAGAGGGTGTGTAAGTAATATTAACTTGTAGTAAGTAATGCTTCAGTTTCTTCAAAGTTTAACTGATGAAGAAATTCAAATAATTGAATTTTGAATTTGTTTTTAGTTTTGGTTTTATTATAAATAAATAGTTCAAGGTAATAAAAATATTTATTAACGGAGGAATGACTAGAAATAGGTCTATTTTTGCAAACTTTACCTTTTCTTCGTTTAGATAAGTAACAAGAGATTTTTATTATAAGATAAGCACAAATGTTGTTTTAACACTGTGTTCAGAATAAATAGCTGTCGAACATTAGGGTTTTAAATATGCATACTTTAGGGATTGCACGTTGAGCTATTTAAAGGGGTCTTAAGTTCGATTTTGATGGACCTCACCACACTGTATTACAATAGTTCAAGATTAAATGAGCAAGAGCTAAGTGTAGTTGTATTAGCAATTTGGGATGCGTCACATGTCGAAGATTTTTGAAAATAAAGCTTCGTTTTCTTAGTTTCGCACAAACCGTAATTATATGTTCACGAAAAGTTAAATTTTGGTCTAATTTACCCCCAAATAGTTTATGGAAGCAGTTTTAGTGATGGAAGGACATGAACAGAAGTTATTATTACAGCAACTATGAGCTATTAGTGAAAGAAACGGCGTCGGTTGGTAGAGTTTTGCACACTAAAGGAGATAAAATGTGTCTTATCAACATTAAGAGTAAGAGAATATTGTTGTAGTCAAGAAGTATCTAGATTTAAACCAAATTGTTCTCTTTTGTAAGCATTTTCCCACGAGTAATCACAGAATAGCAAGACGGAATCATCTGCATAGCAAATTATTTAACAATTTGGGATGTTTAGCTGACAGAGGTCATTTGTATAGATTATAAACAAGCTTTGGCCTATTATACTGCCTTGTGGCACACCGTGTTTAATTGGCAGATCTCTACTAACTTGATCGTTAATTTTAACACATTGATATCTATTACAAATATATTCATTAAATAAATTTAATTGAACACCACGTATTCCAAGAGATTCAAACTTATGTAATAATAAAGGAATGGAGACTATGCCACAAGCATTGGCAAGATCCAAAAATATACCAATAGTTTTCCTGCCCTTGTCTAGATTACCTATTATATAATCAGCATACTCATGGACTGCATCACTAGTTCATTTATCAGGTCTAAAACCGAACTGGCTTTTAGAAATAAGGTTATATATTTCTATGTATTTGACTAGTCTTTTATTGATTATGCGTTCCATAAGCTTAGAGATGGATGGAAGTATCGATATAGGTCTGTAGTTGTTTACTCAGTCTCGTTTACCTGCCTTGTAATTTGGAAATACCATAGATGTTTTTAGAAACGTGGGAAATATACCTTGATATAAGCATTTGTTAAAAATATGTGTCAAAGGAGGGACGAAAATGTGTTTGAAGTATTTAAGGACCTTATTCGGTATGCAGTCCCAGCCCACAGAATAAGCATCCTTCGACACTATGATGAGCTGCTCAACCTCTACTACATCAGTACTTAATAATACGAAGGATTTTATGGAACTTGCAGTATATCCTTTTTTATACTTACTGTTTTGATGTACATGTTATTGTTTTAATTGCATCCCATAGTGCTTTGTTGTTCTTGTTTGAATTTATTAACAGATTTTTTCATATGTTCTCTTAACTTTTTAATATATTATTACAGTAATTTCTACGTCTCGTGTAGCTTAACTTAACTCTTCAATACCAATAAAATCCCATAAGTCGCATGCGTCTGTCCAATTCCGAGCGGTCGCATGCGACCGCACACACCCACAGCACTTTAAACCATTAAAACTTATATTTATAGGCTACTTTTCGATGAAGAAATTTAGCATTATAAAATCTATACAAAATTCTCTATCCTGTGGTCTAAACAAACGTTAGGTTTTACTTCATTATAGAAAGACTTAATTGTATTTTGATAACAAAAAACGGGTACATACCAAAAATATGTCGGCAGCGCAAAAATTACTATTATATTTCTATATATTTCTCGATATTATTTACGTAAAAAGATAAATTATATTCACGCAAACACTTTCATAACATTTTTATAATAAAACACTATAGTAAAACATTAATAAAACACCAAAAAAATCCAAAAATCAACACAGCAACATCCAAATGAAAATGGCGTACGTGATTAACGTAGATTACAAATAAATATCCATAGACTAACTGACGTTTTGTTGCACTAGAGGAAAGCAATTTCATATTGATTCTATAACGCCAAACTTCTTCATGGAAAAGTTGTCTTTAAACATAAATATTTATGGGTTAAAGTGCTGTGGATGGATGTGGTCGGCTCCGTGAGTGTGAGAGGTTAATTATTTTATTGCTTGGTGACTGTCTTGATTTTTTATGGAAACTATCTCTATGTTAAATATTTGGTAGAATAGCTGAGCTGTTTTAAGCATAATTATATTGTTATATTTTTAAAAGGGTTTAAACTTTATTAATATTAAACAAAAAAGTATAGTTGCATTCATTTTATTCCCACAGTAATTGTTGTTTATTAAAAAGGCAAGTTATACAGTTAAGTAATGTTTAGTAATTTTCTATTAGAGTCAGTGTCAGTCTTCGTACCAATTTTGGTCGTATTGTAGTTACAAAATGTTTCTGTTTCTTTTAGTGCTTTCTCTGTAAGTGTTACTTCTTCTTACGTGGTACAATTGTGTAATTTAACTTTATTTTTATTGAACCTTTGACACTATTTCGTGTTATATCCACCAAGCAAATATAGAGCATCATATTTTTTACAAATTCATTTTTAATTGACACATATCCAGTTTCTTCTACAGTAGCCACTTTGTTGATAAAATTTTCTTTTAATTAATCACTTTTACGAGTCACCGTGTCGCTTTCGTCAGTATTAATATGTTTCCATTTTGGTGACCTAGAACATAATTATGTTTTTAATGAAATCTCCTCCGTTATTATAGTTAGTCAATATACGTATACGCAAACCCCAGCCTGAGGCACAAAGGAGTGTTCCAATTCATACCCCGGGTACGAGAGATATGAAGTATCAGCCGCAGAGGACACCTGCGTCTCGGTTAGAAAGAGCAAGGCCGGCTTAGCCATCTCCAAATGGTAGTGAACGGCGTTTAAGTTCGAGTGAACTTACTTATGATTTAATTTTTTTAACCTTTTAATAAAACACACTTTTACTAAAACACATTGTGTGTAAAACCCTTATTTTATCTCCGTTATTACCAAACTACTTATAACAGTTATAATTACTGATGATTTACCACTTGATCTTAGGTGAAAGAAAGTATTAGAAATGCCTCAGAAATTAAAATAAAATGAATTCGGTGTGAAGTTTTTTTGCTTCAAAACCTTCTTAGAATTATAAAGAGGCATCAGTGGGAAATATTATAGCTGTGACATTACTTTTTACTTTTATTATATATAGTAAACTATAGTTATTGCTGTGCTATTTTAAGTTTATAGAACAATAACATATCAAGGATTTTAATCATGATATAGAAAATAACAGTTCCTTAGTAGATAAGAAATGGCTTTCAAAAATATTCTTTTATAAAAAAATTATTAATTAATAATACTTTTATATTAAACACAAGTTTACTTACTTAGCTTTTAGTAGAAGTGCCACTAAATTGTTTAATGGGTACTCGATGAACAACGCTATATACAAACTCAGCAATCCAGTAATCACAACAATGCCCATCGAATCTTGCAGCTGAAAAGAAAACATAAATGATTCTTGTAGAATAGGCAAAAAAATCCTTTAGTTATTATTGATTTACGCAGATCTTATAGTATTTTAAGTGCATTATACGAACATACTTGCACGTTCCAACGTAACCGTGTCTGTTGTATCGACTATAATATTATACATATTATAGTACTAAGGTATTTAATATAGTCAAATATAAAATAAAAATAACTCGCTAACTATTGCAAAGGACAAAAACAAAAAAATTATGCTTTTTTACAAACACTGAGTTTATCTTAGTTCAAACTTAGGATCAAAGCATGTTTAAAATAAAACGTAAACTTAATAATTAAACTTACAATTTTGAACAAGTCATACCACGCCGGACTACGCAAATTCGTTAACCTCATAACGAAGAATAAATGGCACATGTAGATCCCGTAGGAGAGCTTACTTAAGGGGACGAATGCCGCCCAGCTTAAGAAATCAGCGATATATGCTAGAAAGTAGTAAATAGTCAGACAATTATAATTTATTGACTTTTTTCGGTATAAATCTTCCGTTTATAACATTGCAACGATAATAATCTAACAATTTACCAGTTGGTACGAGACCGCAATTGACAATAAACTTTAAACCAACTATAAACTGATTTGTTCACATTCCTTGGGACTATGATGAAATAACTTACAGCCTCTAATTATCTTTTATCTTAATTTGTTATATTATAACTTATTTATATATGTGCATATATTGGTAGTAATAGGTGGTGATGGTGGTAAATGGTTATAAAATATTACATTTATGATTACACGTAAGTAAAATATTTCTTTAAACATCAATATCACATAATAATATCACAAATAATATTAAATTATATTAAATTGATATTTGGAAAAATTTCATATCCTATATAAATTTGAAAGCAAATATAAGAAAATATATCAATGTTTTAGATAAAAACTTAGTGAAAAAAACACAACGATGTTGTGATATGAAACGGTATTTCGGTTTTTCTATTTTAAATTCAAAAACCGTTAATCCTTTATAATTTAAATACTGAAATCAAGAAAATCTAAGAAAGCTGATTGTGTTCAAGCATTTTTATTTTTTAAATATAACGACTTTTTTATTTAGAAGGTTTTCTACGGGAACTGTGTTAAAAATACTTATACATCTTCCTAAAACAAACCGCAAGTTTATCGAAGCCGATTCTGAGGATAACTTGAAATTGAATCGTAGTTTTGGGAGCGTGGCTTATCCCTTTGTCGGTTAAGCTCAAAGACGATTGAGGGAGTGTCAAAATGAAAATGATGCAATGACTCCATAATACGCAAATTATGAGATAGTTATACCGTGCACGTGCTCGGAAAAACTAAGTAAGCGCCAAACAACATTTTTTTAACAAAAATTTGTAACACATAAAACATAGATATTCTTAGACATAGAACTTATACAATATGATTATTTACTATGCCTTAAAAATAATTCCATGTACTTATTCGTAAAATATTGGCGTGGGAAAAAAATAATTAAGCGTTTTTTTATGAGAATTATATGTTATCGTGTTTTTCTTTTACAAAGTCCAAGGTCATATAGTCAAAAATCATATAGGAAAAAACTTAAAAAAAATGTGTGAAATAGAAAATCCATCAAAATTTCGTGGCATCACCTTAACAGTTTAAGGTAACCTTAAGTTTAAGTTTAGGCAGGTTGCATGGAAAACTTTTGTATTTCGATTACATACTTTCATGCCGCCATAAAACCCTCCCAATAATAAGATAATTGGAGAGACGAGGCGTGTGCCTCGTAATGTGACATATAAATATATATTTTTTTTTACTTTTTTACTTCCGCATTACTTTTAAACTTTCAGAAAAAACTTACGTAAAGTTCCGTATTCGCACAGTAATATAAACGCTGCTATAAGACCAGCCCAAGCGGGTCTATTCAATGCGGCAAAGAATGACGATTCTATGACATTGTATTCGCGAAACTGATACGCTGGTCCCATGACCAGTATTGCTGCAGATAGCGCCATAATCGTAATGAAACTAAGGATTGAATATTTCTGAAAGAAATGAAATTAATACGTGGAATATGTAAATAATATTAAAAGTGTTTGTTTAATCCTCAATTTCCAGACATATCTTATGAGTTTACAAAAATTGTTGGTATATTTCCTAGTGCCGGATGAACAAGCAAAAAGCCATTTCAAAGACCGATCCACGTCTCATGATTCATCAGGTGGTCATTCTATCAAATTACTTTTAAATTTGGTATTTGCTGCGCCCTCTTTTCCCAAAAGAGGGTCGCTCATGATAAGGCACAATAGAGCTTAATCAGCCGGTTGCCTGTCCCCAAAGGCGGTTTTTAGAGGGTATCACTTAGGGTCCCCGGTAGGACAGTGAGCCCCTCATAACCACGATAGACCGGCTATCGTGGTATGCGTAATGCATTTTCCGCCTCCCTACGTATAGGGTAGCCCTTTAATTGCTTCGGGCGCAAAAAAAAAAAAATTTGGTATTTACACACACACACACACACACATATATATATATATATATATATATATATATATATATATATATATATATATATATATATATATATATATATATATATGATATTGTACAAATTGTAATACAATAATATAATAAAGTAATTGATTATTTTGACCATTGATACCAACCAATGATAGTGCATTTCTGTAGTTGGTTGGCTTATACACGGAAAGAATGTAACCTGCTATTACACCTATAAAGTAAGGAGCTGCTCGCAAGTGACTCTGTACGTACATCGGTGCGCCCAATATGTATTTACGAATATCTTCAATTGTCCTGCAAAAAATTATAAATAACAAAAAAATTAACAAAGTAATAAATATTTGCATAAATAAGGTTACTTAAACTAATAATAACACTGTTGTAACGACGGCCAGTTTCAATAGAGGCTAGTCATTTGAGCAGGAGGATTAGAGTGCTCAAGTGTATGCGTAAGCACAGGTGCACTCTCTATTCCTATACTCTTTTAGTCCGATGGGGCAGCAATCTGACTCTACCGGTGAGAAATCAGGTGCATATATAAATAAATGTAGCATCCAGCTCTATAACTGTATTAAAATATAACCTCCACATCAAAGTGCAGAAGTAAACGCATATGGTAAATGTAGTTATTTTTGGCATATCAAAATCACACACTTACTTGATAGCTTCTAAATAAATTAGAAATTCTCAAGGTTTTCAAAATTCGTTAGGCAAATTATATTAATTTCAAAAGCATATTTTATTTCTCAAGCCAGCTCCAACTTTGTTCTACAAAATATGGGGTTTACTCATAATATGGAGGATTGAATATTCTAGTACAAGATGTATCAAAGTTTCCACGGTGTTTCCTCTCTCTGATTTAAATAGCTAATTTAAATACATGGGACACAAGGCGGTATAAGAGAACAGGAAACACGAAACATTTCTTAAATATTGAAACCTTTATTTGTTAGTATAAACGATTGAAAATTTATATCGAGTTGTTTTTCCCTAGTACTTCTAGGGACGAAATATTTTAGAACCTATGGTAAATTAGTTAACGTATTAGTAAGCTGAAGTGGCAATGGGACGGCCATAGAGCTCGAAGAACCAACAACCGATGGGCAGCCTTTTTTGTAGAATAAAAGTGACAAACGAGCACACAGTCAACCTGTTGTTAAGTGGATGCTGTGGCCCATAGACATCTTACATTTAACCTTTATTAAGAATCAAGATGGGTTGTCACCCCTGAGGACTAAGAGAGAATTCTTCGATTGCAGTAAAACGAGTCTCTGGTTCTCTATACTCAACGTATGAAATAGAGCAGCATTTAGCTTTTCTCACTTTACGCTGGTATTCTGTGAGAGCGTAGTCTTTCTTCAGTCGAGCCGACCCATTCGTGCTACAATCATAATATGGCTACAGCGTGGTCCTACCACATATAGCCTCGTACTGGTAGGCGTAGTGTAGAGCGGCTCCCCACTAGATGGAGTGACGACCTGGTGAGACATGCAGGAAGTCGATGGATGCAGGTGGCTCGTGCTTTGTAGCATTCCTTGGGGGAGGTTTCTATTCAGCACTGGAAAGGCTCGATTGATGATGATAATTATCTAGTACATAGTTTATGGCGAATAAAAGATATTCTATTCTGTTAAATATACTCATGGTTAAAACTTAGAGGAACGCAAAAAGTGTGTACAACGTAAAATTTCGTGGATGTTTGTGACGATTAAGTTTTATGATTTAGAAACAAACTATCAAAAAACAAAAATTAACCAAACTAAGAAAAAAGAAAAAATTTGCAGAATAGAAACATTTTGTCATTAACATTTTATTTCATTTGTTTCATAAATGCTCAGGAAAAAATATAACGTGGGCTATAATCAGTACTCAGTGTTACCTCCTCTATCTCTTAGAACTGATTTGAGTGCTCCTTTATATACTCGTAATCAAGTTATCAATAAAATCTTGAGAGATTGCTCTCAATACTTCCTGTAATGCGTTTTTAGGATCTCCAAATTTTACGGGGCAGGATTGTTTTTCTTAATTTTTCTTTCAAGTTTATCCCATACATGCTCTATGGGTTTTAAGTCGTGTTAGTGTACTGGCCACCTCATAGCACCATTTTTAACGTCTCGCATTGCTTGTATTATTATGCATAATTTTTTTTGTCTCCTGTAAAAGGAGTAAATGCCGCTACAATTTCTTTAAAAATCTTTGTTACATATCGTGCCACTGTTAGTGATACATCTCCAATAACACGTCCATATGTGTCCCTATACAAATATATCCCTAATTGTTTCCGAGCTTCGTCATTCCAACTTTCGTGATGGTAAGCAAAATTAACTCCAGCTACTCGATGGCGTGTGGCAAAATGTGAGCCTCTGACAGGCAAGTATGAATTTACTCTAGCCGATTTCGTTCTTTTTTTCACAAATTTTGTGCTTACATGTGATTTTGTAAGTCATCAAACTTCTTTAAGCTTCGTTCTTACCTCAGAAAAATTAAGATCAGGTTTCTAAGCAAGCTGACAAAGATGAACCGTTTATCTCATGACAGAATTTTCCATATACATCTTTGTCTTGAAAGTTTCGTTTACTGTCCGGTCTGCTGATACCTCTTGACAACTTGGTATGCCACAGAATAGGCCACATGTTTGTAGTTTCAATTAAAGTAACAGCCTGGCAACTTGAGTGGCGTTTATATTGGGCATTCTCAGTTTATTTGCAATAACAGTGCAAACATGACACGATAATTAAGGCAGTCAAGGCAAACATTAAAAAAAACCTAAATTTAAGCCGAAATTCAAAAGTTGGCATCATTTATCGTAGTATGAAAGAAAATTACGTAGTAGTTAAATAAAACAAATGAAATTTTAAAAAATCCAAAACGTTCTTTTCTAATATTATTTACTAATGTTCGTGGCCACAGCGCACGATAATCATAACAAAAAAATTCAAACTTTTTTTGCATTCCCCTAAATTTGTCCATGTTTGCATTATATTAAAATAAGAAAACTCACTCTAAATCAAAGATGGTAATAGCACTCAGATGATTTAAGTACGTGTTGAGCCCAGGCAGTATAAATGAAACAATTGTAACAAGTACAAAGCAGTACTGGCCACTGCGACGGTTTTTCTGGTACAGCCAATATATAATTGTACTAACCACAGCCAAGTGATAATCAGCAGGTACGTACCACGTTACTATATTACACTAAAAAGGAAAAATATTTCGTAACAATTGAGAAATAACATCCTATCATCAATATTACGAAACTTACAATATTTGAAGAGTCGATATAGTTACCCAACATTAGCAGTCCTATCCACCAATTTTTCTTGCACACATCCTGCTCCACTTTTGTGTATTTAAGCCATAATGGACCGCCGTAAAGGTGAGGTGAGACGGTAATTACCATTAAGATGGTGACAATATATAACCATATCAGCCTGCAACAAAATGTGATCTAAGCTTTAGGCTCTTGTGTCAGTTTTGAAGCCTTGATGTTCTATTGTTATTAACTATCTACTGAGCACAGACTTATAATTCTTCAATTTATTTTCACAAACTTGTGTGAAATTTACCCCGTGCTTGGCGGTGAAGGGAAACATTGTGGGGAAAGTTGAATGTATGAGAAATAAGAAAAAAATATATTTCGGAGACATATAAAGTTCGTCAACACGCTTTAGGGCAGCGCGGCGTACACTTCCTTGCCTTAAAACCCTCTCAGAGATAAGAAGAGGTCTGCGCCCAGCAGTGGAACGTAATAATGTCTACTGTATGATTGACGGATAAAGTTCTGAAGACGCAATCTTGCAAAAAACAGACCGGTGATAGACTTCATCACCAACATCATCGACAGCTTTACAGTCCTTTAAAATTCCACTACTGATTATAGGCCTCTCCCAAATAATGCCACAAAACACGGTCCTGATCCCCTTGCATTCATCGACTTTCTGCATGTCCTAGCAAGTTGTCACTCTATCTAGTGGTGGGCCGGTCCACACTTCGCTTACCAATACTAAACTCTCGAGAAACTTGTTTCCCCATCGGTTGTCGGTTATTCGAGCTATATGGTCAGCCCACTGCCACTTCAGCTTATTAATCCGTTGGGTTATGTAGGTTACTATGGTTCTACTGTGGTTTTCCTCATTTCCAAGTATATCACGCAGAGACACCCTGAGCATAGCTCTTTTCTTAGCTCGGTGAGCAACTTTGAGATTCCTCAAACAGCCAGCTGTGAAGGGCAACGTCTCAGATCCATAAGTTGTCACTGACAACACGCGCTGGTTGTACAATTTCGTTTTAAAGTTTTGAGGTATACCTGATGAGATGTGTCATAATCTTTCGAACGCTGCCCAGTCGAGTTGAATCCGTCAATTGACCTCTCGGTTGAAGTTGAATTTAGTCTACTGAACTAGTTGGACTATTTGTCCCAGGTAAACATACTCGCCAACAATTTCAAGCGTAGTGCTCCCACCGCACAACTTCCGGCGTAGGTGTGACATTGACGTTACACATAACTTGTGTTTTGTCCATGTTCATCTGAAAACCTATTCGTTGGAAGTGATTAGATTCATCAGCGATTATGCCATAAGGACTATATCGTTGACAAATCGAAGGTAAGTGACCTGCTTAACATTGATGTAAATACCCCATCCTTTTTAGTCGAATTGCTTGAAAACGTTTTGCAATGCAGCGGTGAAGAGTTTCGGGGATGTAACCTCACCCTGTTTTACGCCTCCTGAAAATGGATAGGTTTCGTACTTAGCCGTCGTACTGTACCAACATTTCAGACTTTGATATACCGATGTTCAACTTAGCACCGTAGAAGGGACTGCAGCATCATCCAAATATCTACGGAATCAAAGGCTTTCAAATAGTTTAAATACGCAAGATAAAGTTGCAGATTATACTTTTCGGTCTTCTGAAGAATTTGCTGTAAGATATGTATGTCCTCTCTGATGCTAGAGACTCTTCGGAAATCGATTTGTTAAGGAGGCTAGAAGTCATAGAGTCAGTACACGGACGATTCATAATGCCTCTCGAAAACAGCACGTAGACACAACTCAGAATGGAAATCAGTGTGTATTTCTTCAAGAGAATATCGGAATAGTTTTAAATAAAATTTGCTCTTGGATCGTTACTTACACTTGCATGTGGCTCCAACTATGAATTGTACAGTTGTCCGTAGAACCTCTCAATCTTATTTAAAATCTCAGGTATCCTGACAACAATGCTGCCTCATTCGATTTTCAGCTTGGACAGTTGACATTTGCTGGCAGACAGGTCGCTGAAAAATACTTTGGAGCCCGGGTTCCGCTCGAGTGCTTCTTCACTACGAGCTGAATTGAAGTCCCGTTGCCTATATTTGGAGATACGTCTGTTAATTTGCCCGTATGCTGTCAAATGAGATGAAGACTGCAGCTTTATTTCCGGTCTAACAGCCATGAGATCAAGGGTGTGATCAAAGAACTTTTATGTTCTTTAGCGAAGAGTCTTGAAGAACTTAGTTCCGACCGCATGGACAGTTTCCACAAACTTGTCATTCATATCGTCCACTTATAGTTGTTTAGGCACTAAAGACAATTATGTTACTCGAGCTTAAAAACTTCGGGGCTTTGGATTAGAACACGAGAGGCACGGAGCGTTGACTTCATTAGATGTGGCCTCTACAATTTAACGTTAAGTTCAATGTTCCTCTTACCATTCGGTTATCGCTGCCAGTTTTTACACTCGCGATCACTGAGACAGCACTAAATAGTTACCTTTTAGTCGTAATAATGAAGTCAATCCAGTTTTTGCTTGACCAGGTCTACTTTCCATGAGGCCGCTTGTGATAGAAAGAGTTCATCATAGAGAGTCCCTCTTACTTCATGAAGTTGGCCAGCTACTGGCTCCGTGGGCTCCCTACTTTTAGCTCATCGTTCTCTCTTGTGCCTAGTTTTTCGTTTAAGTCTCATATCAACACCGTATAGGTTTTGGATGAATCCATGGCTCTAAAGATATCCTCATACATTTCCCTCACCTCCTTATCGGGATGTGCGGAGGTCGGTGTTTAAAGCTGTATGACTTATAGCGAATATCGTTTGGTAATTCCGAGTATAAGGTACACAACTCTTGTTGACGCACTACCAATCTTTACAACGTAGTTAATGAGCGACTTGTGGACGATAAGTCCGACGCCTCTTTGAGACAGATGGTCTCTTTCCAGTGATAGAATAAGTTGTCGGATTCGAGGATTACCGTGTTCCCCGCTCTCTTTGGATCTAATATAATCCTATAATATCTCGTAATATCCCAGCGCATTTTGTCTGTGTCTTCTACATGCGCTTTCCAGTCCACCTGATACAAAAGACCTTTGATTTTCCACTGGTTTTTGAGGTGATGTTAAAGTAAAAACTATCATCATTAGGTAGTGACGTAAGTTAGTAGACGTAGACCAATTGGTGGTGGTAATGCAACTCTCTCGTATGGTATAAGTGGACTTTAACTTTGGCACATACCCACATTCGGTGCAGGTAAGGGCAGTAATAGTAACCGAACATCGAAGAGAGGCTCGACATGATGTTGTCGAATTTGCCTCTGAAAAATAGTGGCATTGGCCCTCTAAACTATCGAGAACCAAATTCTTCCATCCTTGGTCCGCTCCACATTGTGTATGGGCCCATAAACATGGGCATTATAGGAGGGAGATTTAGCAAGCCTTTCGGTCTCCCACCATACACGCCGTCAACTGGTGGTCCGGTGTTCGTTCTCATATCGAAATCTTGCATAAATCTTGCACTACCCCATACAATCCCATGGTATTCGTAAGAGGCAACATAGGGTAACTTTAGCGTGGTTATTATTGCAAATATTCCCCTTATGGGGCCTTGAGGACCATAGTAGCTCAGGCGCTAAGCTTTTGCTGTAAATTTCACAGTATTACGTGAGAAACTCGGATTCCATACCCGTCGATACCAAAAAAATATGAATTACAATTTTAAGGATGATTTAACACTCGCGCCCTCTTGCTCAGCGGTGAAGGAAAACATCGTTAGGAAACCTGTATGTCTGAGAAATTACAATAAATATTTCGAAAATCTGTGTGTGAACTCTGTCAACTTTTATTGAGGCACTAGGGTAGAAACATCTTTGACGGCTTTGTGGCGCAGTGGCTTAGCAATGAGTTACAGCGCTAAGGGCCGCGGGTTCGAATCCCGCACGGAACAAGTATTTGTATGGCCTACAAGTAATTGTTCCAGGTCTGGATGTTTATCCTTGTGAAATTTATGTTTGTAAACTGCCCCCACGATACAGGAAAAATCCTAGTGTGGAAGTAACATTTTTTAAAAAAACTAAAAAAAAAACGAACGAAAAACACAAAGACACAACCTGTAGGACGAAACGCTCTCAGAAATGAAAGAAGTGTTCAGGAGTGGGAGGCTTATAAGCTGTAACATTACTTCCCTCCTATGAGGAAGTCTATGGGGGATATGTTCATCAGTGGACTTTGATAGGTTGTACTGAATGAACGAATGAATTCTTAAAGAGCGTGGTTAGGTATAGTTGCATCCATAAAATAGCCAAAGCACGGTAAAAAATGCTACACACATTCGTTTAAAGCAGCATTTGGAAAATAAATTTCATCAAGACGAGAAATTCACTGAACTGGGTATTATAAAATTCATACCTGAAATATCGTTTTAACATCACTTTAAATAAACTTATCGATCTCTCAGCCTCTGGCTTAAAGCTCCTCATCAAAAGTAGTCCAGACATCATGAAATATGTATCTACAACCACATTTGCGTGCAATAGGAAGCCTGTATACAGTTTTAAATCCTGAAACATAGTTTAGAACTTTAAATAAGTGATTAAATAACTTGATTTTATTTTTGAAAATCAAGTTATTTAATCACTTATTTAGGTTTAGTTTAGATTTAATAACATTAAATCAAACCCAATCAATTTATTACATTACACAATTTATACGATATAAAAGCTTGTCGTGACGTAACTGAGGTAGTCCGTAGGACTTTTTCAGTTCGGGGCGAATTGAAAAAGTCTGGGACTCGACGGGCTGCATCACTACTGACTAAAGGGGTTCATGGTGTGTCACGTTGTGCTCGACCGACAGTTTCAAGAGGCTCTCAACTAGAAGTCGCTTTCGAGCCTCTTCACTACTGGTATCGCTCATTTGGGTCTTAAAGACCGGGATGCCATAGAACCGAGCAAATATTGCCCCATTACGTGTCTAACAACCATATACAAGACACTAACATCCATTTTGAACACGAGAATCATTCGTCACCTGGACTCAATCAGGTGATGTCGCGTGCTCAAAATAGATGTCGGGGCGGTGGTCGTGGTAAAACGGACCCACTCCTCATTGACGCGGTTATTGTTAAGGTGATTAAACGCAACCGACGAAACTCTTTTTGGGAAGGCTCTTAGTCGTGTTAGAAACATTCGTGACTTGGGCATCAACATGGACGATCAGCTTTCCTTCAATGACCACATAGATTTAGCTATAAAAAGAGCTTTTAGAAGCCTCGGTTTCATTAATAGAATAACTAAACCATTCAATAAGACTATCACTCTTAAAATCCTTTATTTCTCATTTGTAAGATCCATTCTTGACTTCGGCTGTATAGTGTGGTGTCCATTTTATAAAAACCATATTGATAGAATTGAAAAGGTCCAAAAAACATTTATTAAGATTTTAAATTACCGCTGTGACCTTTATGGCGAACCGTATATTAACTCCCTTCATAAACATAAAATGTTGAGTCTCAGTGATCGCCGTAAATATTTCGATATCATTTTCTTGTATAAAATTCTAAATAATAAAATTGACTGCTCTCCTTTATTAGCCAAAATAAACATTAAAAGTAATTTTCGTCTGCCCGCTCGCCCTCAACGTGTATTTCAAACATTCGTACCACCTACACTTCGAAAAAAATATACACAAAACTGCTTTATCTCCCGTTCGTTAAAATTATACAATAAAGAATTTGTAAATCTCGATCTCTTTAGTTGCTCCTTAAAAAGTCTTAAACGAAGTATCTCCCGTTAGCTCTCGCGACGCCCACATGTGCTCAAGAAATAAACACCTTACGCTCGCTCGATCAAGGTGCACATGTGGGCGACAAGTACTACCCTTTGAAAAAAGAATTTTTTTAATTAAAACAAAACCAAAGACACTATGCAATAGATAATAGTATCAAAGACAAAGATATGCTCTTTTATTTTAAACCATAACCTGGCAATGTTTCTTAGAAAAAAAAAAAAGAAATCACTCTGAACTTCCGGCGTTCCACGTGTCACTTTGTTGTAGGTGCTCCGTCTTTTTTATAGAATTTTATATTTGTGTCTGGACTAAAAACGAGAGTATTATACTTTTTTTATATTCCTTGTAATATAGTAAACACGTAGATATGTAATTTGTGGTATAAAAAGTGAAAAGTAAATTGCCAAAAGTACTTCAAATTCCGGAAAGCCCGTTTTGGCAGGTGAGTTATAAATGTGTTATTTTTCAAATTCTCATTTATTTTTAGTGTAAAATGTAAGTAAAAATAGTTTTCGTATATATTTCAAATAACATGACGTTGTATTTATTTCAAATTCACACAAACATATTTTAGAAATATTGTTCGAAATGTCATACAGATAAAATATTATTTTATTTTTTTTTTAATTTTTATAATATTTTAATATTTTGGTATGAGTAACGAATGGAAACACATAAAACATAAAAATATACATGTTTCCAAACATTTTCATATAAATTTCTCCAAAAACAAAAGTGTAGAATTCAAATTAGTAGTAATTTTGGCACTAAAAGTGAAGTATATACTACTACTTATGCTATAAAGGGTAATTTATGAATTTTATTATAATTTCTAGCAACCAAAATAATTTTATTCAATAGTTTATACATTCAACAAGAATTCCTGTAAGTTTTATCCATAAATATTGTCTCAAAGTGAAAATATAGCAAAATTTGCAATATAGCAAAAAAATTTGCTAATTTGCAAATTTTCCCGCCATTACGGTCGCGAGCGAACTGAGTGTCATATTACGCGTGGCCTCGCGATTCAGATGAATACTTGACAGCGTAACATTCGGTAATCTCTACGATGTATTAATTATTGTCCCTTAAAAATGTATGTTTTTCAACTTTAATTAAGTTACCTATTTTAAGCTTTACTGTACTGTTGTTACATAAAGATAAATTTACTACTCAGCTTCAACTAACATGGGTAAATCTTTCAACAAGCTAAACTGAAATGTTATTCTAATGTATTTCTTCGGCACTCGTTGTCTATTAGTTATGTAATGTTATAATATTGTACTTTCTTTTTAATGACTGTTTGTGTCACAATAAATGGAAAAAAAAATTTTCTGCCACCTGGTTAGACTACAGAAAGGCATTCCACTGGCTGCTTCATACATGGCTAGAGAGGGTCTTCGAACTTTACAAGGTTGACTGTACAGTTAATGAGTTCCACGGGCAGTGTTTGGGGCAGTGGAGAGTGATACTTTGTCATCTAGGCAAGCGGATGACGGCTGCGGAGTACCACATAATGGTTAGAAGGGTATCTTCCAAAGCGGTTGTGTGAGTCCAATTTGGTATTGTCTCTCTCTGAACCCTCTCAGTACCTAACTGAAGAGCTTCGTGAGGGCATTTCAGCTTCGAAAAGGAAGTACAAAAGATGTCCTCCATGATGACAGGGGTAGGATAGTTAACTCTGAGAGCATAGACTTATCTATACCCATCAACATAAGAACCCTTCCCGAGGCTGAAACATAGAGATACCTGGGTATGTCACAAAGTATAGGTTTCATGAGACGGTGATGATACAACCAGTTTGCGATTTGTTTTATGCACGCTTGGCCAAATTGCTTAACAGCCTCTTGTCGGGCGTGAATAAGATATAGGCATTTTATGGTTTGGCCGTGCCTGCCCTCATGTGTACCTTTGGCATACTCAGGTGTACTCATACCGAACTGAACGCTCTGGTTAGATAATTCCGCACCATTGTGAAGTCCCATAAGATGCACCATCCGAGATCGTCAGTAATGAGGCTGTACTTACCACTGCATGGAGGGCGTGGCTATTTAAGCGCGCTCACCATGCATAATCGTGAAGTATTCAGCTTTCGTGATTATTTCCTGACGAGATCTGATGATCCATTCTGTAAGACGTTATTTCTTGTGATAAAGGGCTTTTTTTTAAACGTTACCCCTACACTAGGATTTTCTCCTGTATCGTGGGTGCAGTTTACAAATATAAATTGCACAAGGACAAATATCCAGACTCGGAACAATTATTTGTAGGCCATACAAATACTTGTTCCGTGATGGATTCAAACCTGCGACCCCCAGCGCAGCCACCGATTGCTAAGCTACTGCGCCACGGAGTCGTGAACTATTACCCTCTATTTTTACTCAAAGAGCAATAGCAAGACCCGACAGTACAAAACATTTCCGACCGTAAGACGTGAGAAGTAGAAGAAGCTCCATGGGCGGTTCTACAAGGCTCTACATGATCCTTTCGTAGATACGGTCGTCTCCCTTTATTAGCTATGCTTCGGTCGCCTCTTTAGGAAAACCGAGGGTTTTGTCTTTGCAATACAAGATCAGGTTATTAAGACCAACAACTATCGGAGATGCACCGTCGACATTTGTCGAACTTTTCGCCATATCGTTGAATCAGTTAGGCATGTCATTTCCGGTCGTTCGGCTATTTCTAACTCTGAGTACATGCACAGATACAAACTAGTAGCCAGGATTCTACACCAGGAGTTGATAAAATTAAGTAAACTTTTCAATCAATTTAAGATATTAGATTACTCGTAATCTTTAATTTTATAAATAAATTCCCTAGTTAGTTGTAAGTTTTAATTTCATAAAATCGTAAAACCTTAAAAGGGGACCAAGTTCGCTACAAAAGATATTCGGGGGTCGTTAGCTTCGACAATAAAAGGGTATGGATCTGAACGGATGCCTATCTTCATAGCAGTTGTTTTAATCGTTTGATGTATAGAAATTTGCAACATACTTGGAACTGCTACTCCGTAATGGTAGTGCGAGCCCGTCATAACACAAAAGGTCAGACAAATACAAACCCGGCTTAAGTCCGTCTATATTTATTTCAAATTGTGTCAAAATAAAGTTTCTTTGTTTCGAGGTTTCCTCCTTTGCCTTTAATATCATTTGGTGAAAATTGTACATAACGGGTGTTAAAGGCATATAATTTTTTGTTGTTTTGCTTTTGTTATTTTCTGTTGGTGCGTCATTAAAGCATCAAATAAATATATGAACTTTTTACAGTGGTGGTCAGTATCCAAACCAAAAATAACTTATTCTAAGAGAATTAATGTTAAACAGTGAGAATCAGAAGATCCACTTTTATATAGGATAGGGTGATAAACCAGAACACGGTCCACCTGATGGTAAGTGGTTGCTGTGGCCCATAGACATCTAAATCTATCCTCGATTACCAATCAAAATGCAGATGCGTTGTCACTAGTGAGGACTTAGATGGAACGCCTCATTTACAGTAAAAAGGGTCTCCGGTTCTCTACACTCACCACACGAAACACAGCAGTATTAAGCTACTATTTAACGCTGGCATTCCGTGAGAGCGTGGTCCTTCCCCTGTCGAGCCGACCCATTCGTGCTACAACTATACTACTAATATAACTGCAGCATGGCTCTACCACTTAAAAAAATAGATTAAAAGATTTGAAATAGAACCACTTGGTTCTATTTCAAGTTTTATAATCCAATTTAAGCTCTCATGTGGACTTTAAAAATTATTTTAAGAATTAATAAAAATATTGATAAAAAAAATGAACAAAAATATACCCAAAGTGTGCTAGAAATTACTAGTTTCATAAAATTAGAAAGAAAACGAGCTAACAGCCAACCTGGTGGCATGTGACTGGTGCAACTCAGTGACAGAACAGACTTTGTAGCGTTGTTACTTCGAAGGAATAAAAAAAGACTCCTGCCTAGTAAATATACTGTTCCCCTCAACATTCAAATTGAAACATAGCATTTGGTAAAATCATGGTTAGCAGCAGAAACAGGTAAAATGTTTGTATTCATCGAAATAGACTCCTAGGGAGAAACTCTTTTACCTAGTTTGTTTGGATTAAAACGACAAGACATTTTTTTTGAATATGTACACATAGAACAAGGTAATAATTAATAGATTAAAAACTTACGTCATTCATGTCTAAGCTATTTCCAGCTCTGACCATGATATTAATAAACATCACGTGAAGAAACACCACGATGCAAGCCGTAAAAAATCGGATACCGTGCATCACCTTAATTTCATCTTTACTCGTAGAAAGAAGTTCTGCTGCATTGCCATTGAGATCGAATGCGCTAACTACCTTCATTACTGTAAAAAAAAAAACAGAAGCAATCCAAAACGTATTTGTTTAGTTGTAGTAACAAGCGAACAATTTTACCGAGTCCTGTTAATTTTTCCATTAAATTATGTTTTGTCCATTAAATTATTCAGTAAGATTTCAAAATAAGTCCACAAACCATATTTTACAAAACTTAAAGCATATATCTTAGTTCAAAAATTAACACATCTAGTATAACAGTCTTAGTCTGTAAAATAAGTTATGTGCGATCACGGGCGCAGACACGTGACAGTGATAATGCTTGGCTTGCGCATGTATACCAATAGCCTGGCAAGCAATGCAACTACAACAAATATGGCGGATACTTCAACAAATATGGGAGATTAAGTGGCAATCTATTGGAGAGGTCTATTATCACCAGTAGACTTTGATAGACTGTAATGATGAAAATAATCTGATCATTAATCTCTTTGATACCATAATGTATTTTGATTTTGCTAGATGAAGTACAAGAAAATCGACAGTGGCCTTTGCATGCATACCCATACGGTTCGATTCTCGATTCTTCGTTGTAAAATACGTAAATGCACACGCGATAAGCGTCAGTACAACTGTACCCAGCCTGAAAATAAAGGAAAGATATTATCAGATTCTAACAACCATACTCAGTGTTGTTTCATAAACCATTATTTCCTTAAAATTTATATATAAAAAGAATTATTTATAAACTAAACAACTCTGATTGTACGTGTTAATAAACTCATTGTTCTATCGCCTTTTAAACAAAAAAGATCACCATTTAATTACTTCTAGCTACTTGTTGTGTGCCAGATTTTTTTTTGAAACGGAAAGACGTCATTAAGAAATATTAATTTTTTCAATAATATTGAGAGTAAATGCACAATAAAATAAATTTTTAATATATGCAAAGAATCCTTCATGTTTTGTCCAATTATTATATAGCGAATTTATCAAATCATGAGTATCATGAATTTTAGCTGAAGGTCTAAAAGACACATTACAAAACGGCATTACATTATAATATAATAAGCCTAAGAAATTATGAACAGTGTTAGGGATGATGTGCGTAAGAAAGTAGTGAGTGAAGATATGCCGGCTGAATGAGGAGAATGGAAGAGGAAGATATGTTATGCAACCCAAAGAAAGACATGGTATATGGGACAGAAAGAAGAAAAAAACATGCGAAAAGGATAATAACAAAAAAAGGAAAGTGCAAAATACTCACATGAGTAGATACAATCCTGTACTATTTGTTGGAAGAGTTTGAGTTACTTGGCAATTTTCAACCATAACTTTAGGGTTAGGGTTGATTGTTCCCAAGTGACTGACCCTTAGTAACGTGCGGACGAATCTGTCAACTGACTGTGCTTGACAGACTTTTGGCATGCACACCCCCCAGGACAGAATATTAAATCTTAAATTATAATCAGTTTTGATCTGCAAAAATATATTGAAACAGGACTTGATTATCTAGATGAATTTATAAAATAAAACCACAATGATATTCATCCACATATATGTATAATATATATTGATTCTGTACAAACAATATTTCAAATAGTGATAAGTATCAGGAGAATCAGCATATTAGATTGGACAATAATAAGTTACTTTTTTGACGGCCCGATTCAAAACCCGCACTGAACAAGTGTTCGTATTTGTGAATATTTGTTCTTGTGCAATTGATTGCCTTCGCGATTCACGAAAATTCCTAGTTTGGAGCACCGTCTTTAGAACTTTTTTCTTCCTGTCTCTTGCTCGTTTTTCATCAGCCTATCTACAACCCATTGCTAGACATGTGCCTCTCGCGTGTAGGTTTGCTCTAATCGCCACGCTTAGCAAGCGAATTAGCCATTACAATAGAAGACGGTTCGCCGGACAGACACTTTTTGATTGCCATAAACGAGGTGATTATACCGTCATCTATTAGACCCATATGCAGTCTTTCTGGAACTTTTCATAATGGCCTCTTACGATCACCAACAAATGAATTTGATGACCTATTACCTAATGATACTACAATACGACGATATTATTTAGAAGCATATAGCACACTACTTAAATCATCATCATCATCACTACAGCTCATAACAAGTCCACTACTGGACATAGGCCTCCCCTAAGGACCCAACAAAGCACGGTCCTGAGCCACCTACAATCAACCATATTATAAACTACTAAATACTTTTTTCATGTTTTAATTTATTTATAACCAGTATTATTTATAAAAACTTTTTGTTACAAAAATCGATTACTTACGTGGAAATATCTTTCAGCTCTATCATATGGATTAAGGTCAGTAATTTTTTTGTTAACTTCGGTGTCTGCCAATTTAATGTCAACGAGACAGTACTGTGTGACAATCGGATTATAATTTGACCACTCTCTACGCAGGCATTGATCGAAGTTGCCCAAATGATTCTTAGCTCCATAGAATTGACCAGTGGGAAACTGAATACTATCCCAAACTGGAAAATAGAAACATAGGATAATAGTAATTCATAAGTTTTTTAAAATTAAAAAATCAATTTAGATTTAAAAGTAAAAGATAACTTTAACGAACTGAAGAGTTAAATACTTCACATTCTGAAGGGACCTTAATTCTTTGATAAAACATGTTTAAGCACTGGATTTTATTTTAAACTTAACTGAACTTAATTTTTAACCATTTTGAGTGAACTAAGTGATAACAAAAACTTCATAAAAAGTTTTTTTCTTTTTATTTTAAACTTAAAACGTTACGTACACACTAGGACTTTCTCCTGTATCGCGAGGGCGGTTTCCATACATAAATTTCACATTGACAAACATACAGAACCGGAACAATTATTTGTAGGCCATCTTCAAATAATAGTTCCGTGCGGAATTCGAACCCACAGTGCTTAGCGCTGCAACTCATTGCTGAGCCACTGCGCTACGGAGTCGTCAAACATTTAATGATTTATTTTGCCATCGATGGGGGTGGATTTTTTTTCAAATTTATGTGGGAACTGTCCTTTATGTATTTGAGGAAGATATCGCGCGGTACAAATACGAAATACATACATTCGAATTATATACCTACTACTGTTTAAAGTTCACTTAATAAGATCCCTACTGCAGTACCTAAACAGACTAAAGAAGAAATGATCTCTCTCAATGTTAATTCAGGAAGAAATTGTAGGTTTTTTTTACACTGCTATTACCCCGCATTACATTCTGTACGATAGGCTTAGTATCGCAATATTTGAGGGTTATGCTGCAGCGCTGAGAAGCCATAGGTATAAATTAGGGTTGCTAATTTTATTTCGTTACAAAAATATCTTTGAGGCCCTTTTTAAAACCAAACACTATGTAAGACTTGCAGGAAACAGATGAATCTATGTGACTTGAACTATGTTCAGCAATAGAATTGTGAAGGGCTGTCATGATGATGATGATAATGGTAATGTTTTATAATACTGTAGATTAATATTTAAAATCTTAAATGCATATTTCTGGTGCTCAACTCAGAACAGCCTTATTTTAAAATAGTGCATGTTTAAAATATAGTTATACATAACATACATAAACAATCACGCCTGTCACCCACAGGGGTGGGCAGAGACTACGGATTTTCATTTGGCACGATCCTGATATATCTCCCTCGCCGTCATTACAACCATATGTCTACGCATACACGCTGCTCGGTTAAGGGTACTTCTAATGTGGCCCATTTTTAAAATATGGCCAATTTGGTCCCCCCTTTTCGGCTCTGCTGTTCACATCTGCCATATAAATTTGCTTTGTTACTCTTTCCTCATTCATTCTTTCTACATGACCAAACTACCGAAGCATTCCTTTCTTAATCCTAGTCACAACATTATCTTGCGTATCACATTTTTCTCTTATCACGCAATTTCTCACCCTGTCATTCAGATTCAACCCTAGCATACACCTTAAAGACCGAATTTCTACAGCGTTTATTCTTCTTTCGTGCTTCTTCTGCCACACCCAATTTTCATTACCATACATTAAAGTGGGGATTAACACAGCATTATGAATTACAATACGTGCCTTTTTGACACATTCTGATTCTTCATAATACAGTGTAGAGCCCCATTCACTCTATTTCCTGATACAAAAAAAAAATAGTTATATTTCCAACTATACATAATTTTTTTGGATTGATTTAATATAGTAGAATACAATAATATTGTATAATAGCGTTAACAACCCAAGTTCGCAACCCCACAAATATAACTATGTGTTCTATAAGTATGCTAAACGCCTTAGGATATAGGGTATAAAGTAAAAGTAAAGCTTAAATATACTTACTCCACGTGGCCCATAGCGTAGAGTTCCTAACATTTATCAGAATTGTTAGAGTTTGATCGTAGCACGGTTTTTCGCTTTCATCCCATTCTTGATCCAGTAGATTATCTATCAATAAGTCAGTGTAAGATGTCGGTTTTTTGTGTATAGTAGATACAGACGAGTTTTTTTCGTTGATAACATATTCAGTCGCAGAACATTTGACCACATCTGTAAATATATCTGTAAATATAATTTAAACGTGATGGAGCCAAGCTGCAGTTATATTAATAGTACAGTTGTAGCACAAACGGTTCGGATCGACTGGGGAAGGACCGCGCCCTCACAGAATACCAGCGTAAACTAGTAGCTGAATGCTGCTGTGTTTCGTATGGTGAGTATAGAGAACCGAATACCCTTTTCACTGGAAACGAGGCATTCCATATTAGTCCTCACGGGTGACAGTACATTTGCATTTTGATTGGTAATTGTGGATAGATGTAGATGTCTATGGGCCGCAGCAACCACTTACCATCAGGTAGACGGACACACAGTCCACCTCTCATTGCTCATTTGTCATTCTATCCCACAACAATTTGGTTTTACAAGGGTAAAGACTGTGAGCAGTGTGTTGTTCTTATTTCTGTTTTATTACCTATATATATTATATACACGTATTGGCAAAACGGGGTCTTTAACAATATTTTTACTCCCCGGCCAATGCAGAGGTAATAAAACCACATATTATTTGCAAATAAACAAATTTTATTTTATTTTATTATGGCCTATTTTTCTCAAGTAAAGTTATTTATATAAGTTTGAATACTGATTTTGATACCGTATTTAACGATAATTAACTTAACTTATCTTAATGTATAATATACATAAAAACATTTTTACCGATCAACAGAAGAAAAGTAGTCTTTAACAATATTTTTACTCCCGGCCAATGCAGATGTAATAAAACCACATATTATTTGCAAATAAACAAACTTTATTTTATTATGGCCTATTTTTCTCAAGTAAAGTTATTTATATAAGTTTGAATACTGATTTTGATACCGTATTTAACGATAATTAACTTAACTTATCTTAATGTATAATATACATAAAAACATTTTTACCGAACAACAGAAGAAAAGTAGTCTTTAACAATACTCTTACTTCCCAGCCAATGCAGAGGTATTAAAACCAAATATTATTTGCAAATAAACAAATTTTATTTTATTTTATTATGGCCTATTTTTCTCAAGTAAAGTTATTTATATAAGTTTGAATACTGATTTTGATACCGTATTTAACGACAATGAACTTAACTTATCTTAATGTATAATATACATAAAAACATTTTTACCGAACAACAGAAGAAAAGTTGCCGTCAATTTCATTTTTTCTTCCTTTCTGAACTATCTTCACCGGTTGCAATAACTAGTTTCAGAACACCTTAATTATTTGCTCCCGTTCGGCTGCCTGCCCAAAAGCACCCAATAATTTTACTTTCTTGATGCTTCTTTAAAAACTATCTTACGAGAAAAACTGAAAAAAAATCACATACCAATAACTTCAATTGATTAACTTTTATAATATTGTGTATTTTTTATGCAAAAAGGAGATTATTTACGCGAATATTAAAAAAAAAAAAAACTATACATTATTCAATGACTGAACTGAGTGTCTTGATTCTACGGACAATTTTCCGACTGTGTTGTTTTGTACGAAACGACACAATGCTAAATAACTACGTACGTTTCTCTCAGTAACCTTGAGTTTCATCATAATAATACGCTAAGTTTAATACTAATTAGTATTAAATTACAACGAGGGCGAAACCCTCGTTGTAGTCGGAAAACGGCAACAGGAAGTCTTACACTTCTACTCACACTTCTTTCGTATGGAGTTCAAATAGCATATGACCCATATGATATCCATCCTTCTATTCAGCTTGTAAAATGCTACTGCTGAAAATGCAAGATTTGGATAAAATTTGTTTGTCTGGAGACGATTTTTTTTAATTATTTATCTTCGAGATTTGCTAGATGAAAAAACCCTCAAGTGTAAACGTACACAGGCGTCGTTTTAATAGACTCGAAATTAAAAAAAAATAAAGTGAAAAAGGTCGCCAGATTTCTATACTCGTAATACGTAACAAATCAGTATCAAGCTGTCATTAGCTATTTGACATTGGTATTGTGTAATCGCTGTCCTTCCCTGGCTGGGCCAGCTCGTATGTGATACAACCATGATACAGCTTGCTGTTTTGCGCAATATCATAGTTTTGGACATCATAGCGTAACAGATGTAAATAATAAGGATATATCATATAAGAAACTGTAAAAAGCTTGCTTTTCCACAGTTAAAATTGCTAAGAAAGTTGTAAAGTGTTGTTTTCGGGATTCTACTGAGTAATAGAATACCTAATAAAGTAACTTATAAAAAATTCAAAGAAACTGATATAAATAATAGCATAATAATGTAAGCTAAGAGGACAAAATATCGGCAGAAAATATCCCTCTAAATTTCCTGGTGGTTCTATCCAGGACAGAAGTTTTTTTTAGAATTAATGGTAAAAGAAAACAATCTTTTAATAGGAATTATTTGTCACCTATATACATATATATATATATATATATATATATATATATATATATATATATATATATATATATATATATAAGAAACTGATATAAATAATAGCATAATAATGTTACGAACTTGAGGTTCGTGACAATAAAAATTGCCGATAAAATTACCTAAATTAACACTTTAATTTACTTTACACAAATTAAAACTAAAAACACTAATAATTAAACACACTAATTCACTTAATTCCGCTCCGAAGCTTCGCTTGTGTCGCCGAGTTCAACTCTACTCCGATCGCATCTTGCAGCGCCTACTTATTTAAATTAGCAATGAAATATCCAGAATGTTCAAGTAAACGCGCGCAAGGTACCGAGCGTTCGAGTTACGACTAGGCGCTGTCGGGTGAGTGATTTGTGATGTCATTTTCTCAATGCTCCCCTCGCTCTCGTTCCTGACACTAGATGGCGCTAGTGTATCGTCGACTTGAGCGCGTAACACTGCCCCCTCCTAAGACATGCTCGTCCCGAGCATTATCGGCCCCATAATAACGCGCCAAGCGATTCACATGGACGATCTTAGGAGTCCCTCTTGCGCCTTTCTGTAACGGCTCCGCAATGTCAAGGGCTGTCCTATCCCGTGGTGCACCAACATTGTACAATTTCGGTGCTCCTCTACTACGTGTCTGAGGTCCCCGCACGGCCTCACAACTTGTACATGTACGACACCAATCCTCGACATCGTCACGATAATGGACCCAGTAAAACTGTTCTCGGACCTTCAGTAGAGTTTGTTTAACTCCCAGATGGACTCTTGAACGACCATTATGGCACAGCTGTAGAACATTCGGCACTTTAGCTTTAGGGACATCCATTTGCAAACGACAGCTGTCTCTTCGACTATTGTCCCATTTACGGCACAGGACTTCATCCTGAATCAGCAAGCTGTCCCATTGAGCCCAATAGCATTTCGTGGTTGAACTCATCGCTGAGACGTCCCTCCACTTAGGCTTGGTAGCACGGGCCTTCATCCATCCCAGAATCGGCTTGATGTCCGGATCTTTCTGCTGTGCATGTCGTAGGCTGTCCTTCCACCCGTTGCTGAGGTGGTCTGTCCTAAGCATCCTCACGGACACCACCTCCTTACACTCTTGCCTACTACAATGGTTGCAATCTTCAGGACAAGGTCTTCTTGACAATGCATCTGCGTTGCCGTGAGATTTCCCGCTGCAGTGTCTGATAGTAAAGTCGTATTCCTGCTACTGCTGGGCGGTGCTGTTAGCCGCACTTCCTTTCTGAGACCGTTCACCTTCCCTTCCTAGGGTGTGCTCAGGGCAGCTGGACCGAAGATGGCCCCTTTCCCCACAGCCATAGCACCTAGGGCTGTATCTTTTGTTGCGGTCGCGAACTGTAGCTGCTGCAACCTCCCTGATGCGATGGGAACGATGATCCTGCCGCACGGCTTCCACCTCCAGTGCATGGGCCAAGGCGTTCTTAAGCGTGTCGTGGTGCCCGAGTCTCACAGCAGCTCTGACTTCAAGGTCGCGGATGCCGTCGATGAATGTCTGAACCAGGTTCCCTTCAATGAGCGCAGGTACAGACTGGTATGCTTTTCGAACCATCTTCTCCACCTCAAGGGCCCACTGCTGCAGATTCTCGTTGCTGCGCTGCACGCGATCTTTAAGCTGCGCGCGAAAGACGTGTTCCAGATGAGCGTCGCCATATCTCGCTTCCAAGGCCTCAAGAAGCTGCTCATAGGTCACTTTCTTACCGAGAGCTTCCAACACAGTTAAGGCTTGGTCGCGCAGGCCTAGGGTGAGTGCAGTCATGGCTTGGCTTTTATTCCAGCCGTTCGCCTCCATGACGGCCTCGAACTGGATTTTGTAGGCCAACCAGGAAGAGGTCCCGTCGAACGGCGGCACTTTTAATCCACGTAGCGAAGGTGTTGTAGCTACTACGGGAGCTGTAGTTCCATCCGCAAGTTTGAGGTCGTTTAGCGTTTTCTTCACGTCAGCCATCATGTTGTCAACCCGATTGTTCACATGGTTGATTCGGCTTTCATGTTCTTCGATTCGGGTTTCAGCTTCCGATAGGCGGTTGTCGTGTTGAGCAACCCTATCCTTCACGTCCCTTATCTCTTTCCCAAAGGTAACGTGAAGGTCCTTCATGAGGAGCAACTGCTCTTCCGACCGACGAGCCTGTTCCGCCTGCTGACGGGCCTGTTCCTCTTGTCCGCTCTGCAGCTGCTCTTTTAAATGACGGACCTGTTCCTCCTGTCGGCGAGCCTGCTCCTGCAGCATCACCATCAGAGCACCTAAGTCAGGTACTGCAGATGTAGGAGCTACCGACGGGCCTGCAGCCGGTGGCTGGTCCTCCGACGTCTGCGGCGTTGCACCACCAAATCTTCGTTGGTCCGTCTCCTGCCGGCGTTGACTTCGGGTACGGACACCCTCCGTTTCCTCCTTAGGTAAAATCGGCATTATTTTATCCCACTTCTGACACCAATTGTTACGAGCTTGAGGTTCGTGACAATAAAAATTGCCGATAAAATTACCTAAATTAACACTTTAATTTACTTTACACAAATTAAAACTAAAAACACTAATAATTAAACACACTAATTCACTTAATTCCGCTCCGAAGCTTCGCTTGTGTCGCCGAGTTCATACTCTACTCCGATCGCATCTTGCAGCGCCTACTTATTTAAATTAGCAAAGAAATATCCAGAATGTTCAAGTAAACGCGCGCAAGGTACCGAGCGTTCGAGTTACGACTAGGCGCTGTCGGTTGAGTGATTTGTGATGTCATTTTCTCAATGCTCCCCTCGCTCTCGTTCCTGACACTAGATGGCGCTAGTGTATCGTCGACTTGAGCGCGTAACAATAATGTAAGCTAAGAGGACAAAATATCGGCAGAAAATATCCCTCTGAATTTCCTTATGGGTCTTTCCAGGACAGAAGTTTTTTTCAGAATTAATGGTAAAAAGAAAAAATCTTATAATAGGAATTATTTGTCACCTATATATATATATTTGCCCATGGATACCCACAATTTTTTTTTTTGCGAATTTAAGGATTTTTAATAGGATATGACAAAGGGCCGTCGAAAACGGCAGAACAACGTCTGTGCGCAACTTTTTTTTTTTTATATATATATATTTCAGACGATATCACTAAATTTAATTTATATTCATCAAAACCAAAACACGATAACAATAGCGACAACAAAAGTTAGTTTTATACTAAAGTTAACATTGGGTGCGTTTGGCATAAAAAAGCGCTAGCAAGCGCTTTTTTATGCAAATTGGCGATCGTAAGCGGTAAGCGCTGTCAAATCGTAAGTAGCTATTTTCCTCTAGCACACGAAGTTAGTTTTAACCGGGGAACCTAACCTAATTTAAATATATGTTTGTAAAGTATACATATTAATTAACTTACCTATCATGAATTTTAATAACATGTAAGGTCAACCGGGGCTAAGGCGTCTTAGGGGTTAAGGCGTCACATTCAAATATCATATGAAATACGAATTTAAGAACTACTCACGTCATCTTTTAAACATATTTAGCACCAAACTAAAATATTTAATTAGTAGATGTCGATACTGGCCTCATTTTTGTTTAAATTTTCGCCATCTTGAATATGTCACTTCACTTCGAAGCTCGCGTTAGTGATATGTGGTTATTAAATCCCCTTAAATTTCAGTGTTTTCTAGACTATCGGTGTTTTTTGCCTGTAAGTACCTTTCATTCTGAAATGTTTTACGGTTTGTTTTAATTATTTTAGTAAAGGCCTAAAAATTAATTGTCCACGTGCAGTTAAAATATTTTAGGTTATGTTTCTTTATCGGGGCTATCGCGTCTGCCTTATTGGGCTGATTGCGTCTATTGTAACGCAATAGCCCCATTGTATGAGGTCCTAAACCTTTTTATTTTAAGATAACAATAATGCAGTAATTGATCTAAATACATATACACTAAAATCATTTTTTTTTAAATATAATTATACCCTACTTATATATGGATGGATGAATATAATATGCATGTTTGTTACTCTTTCACGCCTAAACGAAAGAGCAGATTTTGATGAAATTTGGTATGGAGATAGATTAGACCCTGGATTAATAAATACATAATAGGCTTTTAACAGACTTTGGAAGAAGTAGGTGGTTTCTCGCGAGTGAAACGGAATTACGTTAAATATTACAAACAAAATATATTGTTTGTAATATTTGATTTTTTTTTGGGTAATTTCACTGTTTATTTGACACATTTTTCTAGATGGTCTTTGTAATTAAACCTAAATTTTTCTTTTAGATTTTTTAAAATGGTTCGTTCATATAAAAGAAAAACAACACCAACTTACGATCTTGAAACCTTAAGGAAAGCAGTAGATGAAGTCAAAACTGGCAAAATAAATTCGTACCAAGCTGCAAAAAAGTATAACATTCCTCGTATGACTATATGTGATAGAGTGAATAACAAAAAAGGTATCGTAAAGGAGAGCCGAGGACCACCTACAGTGATTGACAGAGAAAATGAGCTCAAACTTGCAAATGGTTTACGGGTTATGGAAAAATATGGGTTCGGACTCACTTCCAAAGAAACGCTAGATTTAGTTGCCGTACACGTGAGTGAAAATAACTACAAAACTCCATTCAAAAACAACAAACCCGGTTATGATTGGTTTGCTGCCTTCAAGAAGAGGCACAATTTGTCCTTAAAAGACCTCAGGCGGTTGAAATGTCAAGAAAAGTGGCATGTGACCCTTTTATTGTTAATGAGTATTTTGATACTCTTGATGGAGTTTTGAGTGAACTTAATTTAAAAGGAAGACCTGATAAAATTTGGAATCTTGACGAGTCAAGTTTTGGAAAAGATCCCGAACGAACAAAAGTGGTTGGAGCCCGTGGATGTGCCAGTACACGCACAATCGCGTCATCTAGAAAAGATAATGTCACAATTTTTTTCACAGTCAACGCAATCGGTGACAAATTACCACCGTTGATTATACACAGAGGAAAAAATACGTAGGACCAATGGCTGTCAGATAAAGGATTTGAAAACACATCCTATGCTGCCACTAAAAATGGATGGATCGATGCAAAAGTATTTGAAAAGTACATGTTGAATACAGTGCTATCGCGTTTAAGTGAAGATCCACCCGCTTTATTAATATTTGATGGCCATTCTACCCATATCCAACTTAAAATTTTAGAAGAAGCACAAAAACGAGGCGTTAATATTATAAAATTACCATCACATGAAAGCCATCTTCTGCAGCCATTAGATTTATCAGTTTTTAAATCAATGAAAAACACTTGGGATGCAAAACTTGTGCATTGGCAACGGTTAAATGTGGGCACTAAATTGCCAAAAGTTGAGTTTATTCGCCTTCTTGGAGAAGTGTGGCGTGAATTAGACACAAAAATAATTAGAAATGGCTTTAAAAAAGGAGGCATATATCCATTTGACAGAAACGTAGTTGCAGACGAAAAATTTGATCCAGAATCATTAAAAATGTTCAGGGAACATAAAACGATACCAAAACAGATTCAGACATTAAAAAAGTTAAGTTTGGCGGCCGTTACCCAAGAGTCAACTCTCATGCATTAGCAAAAATCCCATAGCAGCGTCATCAAAATTAGTTTTGCCAAACCAGGAGATGAAAGGGCATTGCCCATTTTTCGGCGATGGAACGCCCAACAATGTGCATTTGTTAAAAAATTATATCTTTATTTATGGTTATTAATCGCGGTATTCATTTATCCTCAAACAATGGGAATATTTTTGCACAAATTAAAAGTACCGAAAAGATAATATTAAAAATAATAAAAATAATTATGTCATTAGTTTGTGAATAAAAAAAAGTGTTGCCAATCACAAAACACATTTAAAAAATCGATTCTCTTTTTCGATCGATTATTTACGGTGTCATCATTACAGTGCCAATATAATTTTTAAATAATTATTATGTTATGATAATTAAACAAGCGAATTGCTAGCTGATTTCCAATGAATTCTTTAGAGAGTAACAAAACGCTACGGCACAATTTAACTGTTAATCTTAACCGATCTTCTTTGAAAACAGATAAGAACTGATATTCTTATCTGTTTTCAAAGAAGATCGGTTAAGTTATTCTTATCTGTTTATAACAATACATTTAAAATAGAATCATGTTATGATAATGAAACAAGTTAGTTTCCAGCTGATTTACCATGAATCCTTTAACCTTTTGAGCGCCAAAGTCGCCTAATACTTGACCAACGCCTGCGGGCCCTGAGCGCCAACGACGTCTATAGTTGACAAAAAACCCGGCTCTCAAAAATATGAAATATAGATATTGGAAAATTATTACAGGTATTTTAATTCTACACTCCTCAAAATAGGAATAACCCAGCAACATGTGAGTATAAAAAACAAGTCTTCTAGAGCCACAAGTACTAAGAAACATTGAACTAATAAAAATGGATTTTTATCTAAGCAAATACAATGTCCAGCACGCCAAAGTCGTCTATGGTTGACCGCTAGTGTCAAACGCGGGAGGCATAGATTTCTTGAAAACTATCCAAAGTTCAGCTCAATGGTGTTTTTTTTCTATTATTATTGATATTTGAATAAAATTAAAAATTAGAAACATAAAACTATAATTAGCTACATGAATAAAAAAATGTTATCAGATCATCTTCACATAATAAATCTAATATCTCAACTCTAGCGCATCTTTAGCGCGTCATCGAAAATCAGTTCACTGGGCACCGTGATCAAGGATAGACGACACCCTGATGACGTCATAAGTGATTACCGAGAAAAGTAGAGCAATGCAACATGAACGATTCCTCAGAACTCATTCGGATTTTGGAAAGCGTCGATGATGATGAATTTTGATTTTTGATTGATGAATTGAATTTTTGATTGATTGGTGAACAATTATGTTTATTTATTCCATGACCAAGATTTTAATATTATAAGGCTGATTTACCTAGTGCGAATAATTATATACAATTGTTGATTAATGAATAATTATGTACCTTTTTTTAATAATAATATAAAATTACAATTAATGTGTTTTTTTACTTAAGGTGTGAAGAGCAATTTTTCATTTTGTGTTGTGCCATTTTCTTTCTCAGTCTCAAAATCATCTAGCAGCATCAGCATCATATCAAATCCCCATTGTCATAAGAGTGTAAGACTTTTCTTCTGTGCTTCACTTGGCCTACGCCTTCCCCGACACATAAAATACTATGAATCGATGTCTGTATATTTCGGTTAGATCGATTATGAAATCGATACACAACCTTCTTAGAATGTTTCAAAAAGGAAGGTCAGCTACGCCGTTGTCGTCCAGTCGTGACAGTGTTGTCATTAGGATGGAGAGCAGTGCTGTGGTTTACTACTATTTTATTGTTATTGTTTGTTTTTTTATTTATGTTTATATGTACGAAGTACATATATAAAAAAGAGTGGAAGACAGCACAAGATTAAATAAAACATACAGTTTATTAAGAGTCAATTATAGCATAAAAAACCAACAAAAACAAGTTATTTTACGTTATCTATATATCAACTCTTGGCAACACTATTTTGTTTTGGCGCTTTGGCGTACAGAACACGGTAATGCGTTTTTGGCGTGGCGCTCAAAAGGTTAAAGCTTAACAAAACGCTACTGCACAATTTAACTGTTCTTAAAAATACATTTCAAATAGCATTTAAATAAATAAAGGAAAATATATTTTAAAGAGCTTGCAGAACTTAAAGCGCCTCAAAGATTGTTTTTTTAACGATATTATTAATCGAATAAAAATCGATATCCTTTCATCGATTTTATGTCAGTTAAATGGCAACATCGAGTCTGACAGCTAGGCCCTGTCATAGAATGAAATCTTAATTCAGTTCATAACTATATCTATATATAAATAGAATATAATAGAATTCATTTGCGTGTTATTTTGTTTGTTTTTATTTTTGTGAATTTTTTATCGAAGTAACGAACAAGCCTTATAAATGAACTCTGACATTTTTTCCCACCCTACTGACCACGGCCTGATCATGGACCCCGCACTCGCTTCCTTCAATAACCCCTGCACGAACTTGGACTCGATATCCACTGTTAACAATGATCCCAGCTTCCACACCGGCCAGACTTCTTCCCAGCCCTCGGTAACTCATTCAAGAGGACATTTTCGCTGTGTAAATTGTTGTTTAAATGTAGCGAAAACACGAAGGCATTTGTTGGAAATTCCAGAACTGCGAAATCTTATACAAGAATGGGTTCGACCAGAGCAGGTAAATAGTTACAATCATGTGTCATGTCTTCCTTTTCTACATTCTACAATTGCAGCAATGCTTATTAACTGAGTTGTCTTATAATTATATCAATAGATATAATAATTATGGCTTCTTTATTAGGTACAAGTTTCGAGTGATAGTGTAGTATGCCACGCATGTTGGATTGCAGCCTGGAATCAAATACGACATCCAACTAGCAAACAGGAAAATTCACCAATTATTAGTCATGTACATGTATGTATCAGCTGTGGCAAGTCACTTTTGAGAATAAGATCACACACATTGTTTGGGTCTGATTCTCCACGTGAGGAACTCATAAGGAATGAAATTGCCCATCAAATTGCACCACGTGGGGTACGTGTTCAACATTTTTTAATTTATTAAGTGTGTGTGCTCATATCTGATAGTGATACATGTTTTTACTCTGATTACATCCACACAAACTATATCTGACAAACATAAAAGCTTATTTATAACATGGCGATAAGATTAGCTTGTCACCACCAGGTAGACTGCTACCGTTTTTACCAACTACCAAGTAATGAGACAATTGATTTTTCATTGTTTTTGGACTACTGGTAGTTTTTAAGTGCTTAATTATTATAATATGGGCCATTAAGTCTGCTTTTGTGCAGTAACAATTAACTTGATAAATATTTTATATGTATTTGAGTTTAAAGGAAACAAATCTATTTTATTTTTATTTAGTTCACTTTTTCACTTTTGTATTTAATAATATTTCAGTTACCATCGTCATATCGTGTGTTTCATAATTGTTGGCGAAGGTTTGATAGAGCAGCATCACATCATCTAGTTCATCCTCGTTGCAATCTGAAGTCGGTAATGTATTGTACCCAGATCAACAAAGCTTAGACCAACAGCGTTGCGGGTACGTCTTTTTTGCGATTACAATTACTATGTACCTTCAGAATGTAGAATCTGTAACTACCATTTAAATAGTAACTCTTGGGATTTAGTTTTAAAATCAAATATACAATCCTATTAAAACATTTAGTGCAGCACAAATTGAAGATTTTGCTACATTATTGAAAGATAATATGCACAATCATATAGACTGAAAATATTGACAGTATGCCTGAGCACACTGTACATTATTATCTAGACTTGTCAAAGGCACAATACCAACAAATTCTGTCTGTAGTTCCTAGACTGTCAAGTAAACATAGGGGTTGTTTTGCACTTGCTGCATATTTAATGAAGTTAAGAATAGGAGATAGTGACGAACGCATGTCAGCATTATTGCAAGTGCCAAGAAGCACATTAGAGCGGCTTATAAATATGGCCCGCGAAATAATTAATCAGTATTTTGTTCTTATGAATTTGGGCATAAATCATATATCCCAAGCAGAAATAGCTCAAAGAAATCTTCTCATTCCAAGTGGACTTTATGGGGGAGAAAATAGGAGGCCTGTCATAATTGCCGATGGTACATAAAATGATGGTACAAAAAACTTACTCATTACACAAATATAGCAATCTTATAAAGCCTTTCCTTTTTGTGTGTAGTGATAGTTACATCATAGATGTTTTAGGCCCTTATCCTGCAACAACCTCAGATGCGGATATCATAAAAAATGAATTTGGTAATGAATCCAGTTCATTAAGGCATTATTTTGAATCTGGAGATGTATTCATCCTAGATAGAGGCTTTAGGGATTCATTGCCTCCTTTAGAACATTGTGGTTATCAGGTTCATGTACCTTTGTCTCCACCCGATGGTGGAATCTCAGTTCACGACTAGAGAAGCTAATAAGTCCAGAGCCGTGACTATGTGTCGATGGGTAGTCGAGGTGGTGAATGGCATTTTTAAAACTCAATTTAAAATATTTCGCCAAAATTATTTTAACAGGGCTTCTAAACATTTGATGATAGACTTTGCTGTGGCTGCTGCTCTAATTAATAAATTCCACACTAAAATAAGGGACAGGATGATGCGGCTCAAATACTTGAAATAGTTCACCAAAATATGGAGACAAATAATGATTTGTCTGAGTATGTTAGGGAACAAAATCTAAATAGAGCTAGGGCAGACTTTAGAAATATAAATGTAGACTCTGAAAATGTTAGAGAATGTCCTGTTTTAACTTACAATGATTTAATATTCATTGCTTGTGGCACATACCAATTAAAGCAAGCTCGCTCCTATTATGGTGAGCATATTAGATTTAATGGTTGCTATCGGATAGAATTATGTAACAACCACAAGAGCAGCATTACGGAAGGAATAAACTTTAGCCCTAGCTGCTCTTTACTTAGGGCTAGAATCGCAAGTCGACACATCAGTCGTAAAGTATATTTTATATAT